CAAAACAACAAGATGCACGGAATGAACCAGAAGAGAAATCTTAGAGATCCGGCACAGAAAAGGTCATTTCAAGAAAAACATCCGACACATACCTCGGATGGCCCGGCTGCACAGAAACCAAAGACTGCTGCATTTGCGGCACTTTCTGATATTCGCTAATGAAGTATTTGGAGAATTCCAAATCATCTTTGGTCATGCGATCGGGATTCCTCCCTGCCGCTCGCAGCAAAGCTTTCACACTATCATCCATCGGATCATAGTTGTATGTTTCTTGTGAGAAGCCACCTTCCTGATTCCACCCAAGATGTGCCTTGTGTCTATAATAAGCAAACGACTACTGCAGACCACATTTACAAGTACTGCAAACGGGCCACCTCACTAACAAGAATAAATTTCGAATGGCACCCTCTCAACAGCTACAGCGGCGAAATGTCCTTTCAGACTTAAATTCTGCATGATCACACCAAATACGGAAAAACGATAAGACGGAGCACGCTAGTCGAACGAAAGGAAAATATCGAGTAAAATCGTAGACGAAGAAAAAGCATCTCTCTCTTTCTCCCCAAAAAAAAAGAAACTCACTGAAAATTTGTTGGATTGCTGATATCCTCCTTCCGAATCTTTTGTTTCTTCTCCTTTTTTACATTTTTTTTCTTATTCCTACCGCTTGTCACAAGACTCGTCCAAGAACCGCCGGTAACAGTCGGCACAGTGCCCATACTTGTGATGCCAGTCCTATGAGATATTGAAACAGTCTGTGCATGAGGTCGAGTAATTGCAGCTGTCGGCATTGAGCTATTAGACGAAAGCGGAGTAGTCTGCGCGCTACTGACACCCATTTTCTCTTTTTCTTCTAAAAAAACACCAGTTAATATTACCAGGCTGCCAAAGCGGAAGTAATTCAATAAGCTGAACAGCTTCAACGAATTCTTTTTCATATCAGTGGACGAACAGGCAGACAGAGACACACAATCACATACACGAACATACGCAACTAGCAAATTACCACTGTGGTTATCATCATATACCATAATTTTGACAATGCTTTTTTTTTCACCTTCAATTCCATCATCCTTTCTTTTAATATCATATCTACTTATGGCTAAAGGCTCTGTGATGCACCAAATTTGAGATTTTTGCAAGCAATCAAAACTATCTCATTCAACAAAATCTATTTTAAGACCAAAGTGCTTCAACTCATAGGCCCGTTAGTCTCTGGAAGCAGCCAGAACTGCACAATGTACCCGAGGAAGAAACATACATTAACCAAACAGATTGGCAGAACATCCCCCGAAAGTTGAGAAGTAGGAGGAAATTAAGGCCAGAATTTAGATTACATTCAACACTTCCGGGATGAAAGTACCAGGGAAGGGGACTTGTCGTCTGAGAGAGCAAACAAATAAAGTGTTGCGAGAAAATAAAGAGCCTACGCGATTTTTTCTCCTGCTCGTAGCGCTTGTCAAGATGATACTTGAAGTTGTACGCTTCCTCATGACTCGAAAAATTGAGACCAAACATACATTCATCGCCTTCGAATGTTAGAAGATTGGGGCATTCGGCGGGCTGCGAAGCATGGAAATTCTTATACCTGAACAAGCCTCTGGAATTTAAATTTGCACTTTCCAAACTATAATTATTCTCTTATGCCCTGTGCTTACAACAGCTATCCTTTTATGCATATTCCGTCGAGGAGCCTTTTACAGTCAACTGTAAAGAAGAAATATGCAAAGCCTTGCAAGAAATGGTGCCAGAAATATGAGATCTATAAACGCCAGCTGTTTGTAAATAAATTGAAAAGATGTAAAGTTGCTTCAGGCAACAAAAAAAAAATCATCACTGGGACTCTCGCCGACTAGAAATATCGCTAAATAGCTTGATAATACATCCCGAGAATATCAGTTTGTTGTCAATAAATGGTATAATGTAAGCACTGGTTTTCTTTGGAAATTACTAACAACTAACTTACAGCATCTGCTGCCACAGAAATTGCTTCCTGTAGATATCATAAAGTCGTAAGAAATATGCCCGCTTGTCGTAGTCCTTGACGAGTGAAATCACCCCTCTGTGAATCTTAACCCACAGCCCTTGATTTCGTGGATCCGATTTGAGCAACTGCACAACACCTGCCGCTAAGGAAACACAGTCGCGTCCAAGCAACAAAAACAAACTATCATTTTCGGATGCATTGAAAAGCTGTGCGCCTGTATTCGGCGGCCTGAAAAATGACAGCTCATCAACGGAAAAAAAAAAACATTTGAAAATAGGAAATACGGTAACGCAAATAGGCTTATTTATTTATGCCACTAGTCGTTTCATCGCGACACCAGTGCATATGGAAGCTGCGCTGATCGAAGCCAGAACAACCGGAACTCATCTTGCTGCTGATCCCGTGGTACTCGTCCCCCTACGCTACTTTTCGCTCTCCGGAAGAGGTATGTCAGAAACACCGCAATCCGTACGCCATTTTTCGGGCAATACTCCGCACCTGGTAATTGTTCTTTACGGCCCACCAAAATGGTCACGACCAGCGCGAGAGGCAGTGCTACAAGTTGGTCGTATAGCGGACCTGGATTACGGGTGAAAAAAAAAAAAAAATACCGCGAACCACACTAGAAGGTGAACACACGAATCCAGCACAAACAGAACAAGTTGCATAAGACCTTGAGGGAGGAGAAGATCGAAGCGGAAGAGGGAAGATAAGTGCAAAAAATGGAGTCCTTCTTTCCCCTCACTTTCCTCTTTATTCTCGTTCTTCCTGTGCTCAGAGTGCACCCAAATTACCCGTGCAATGAAGCAGTCAAGTGCCGAACTTGAAAGTCCGCAGCTCTTCATGTAGCACAATCAAAGCCATATAAAACTGAGTCAGAAGAAAGGCCAGCAGTGCTAAAGACATTGATCTGAAAACTGAAAGTGGGGGAAAACTGTTTGCCAATGGTTTTTATATTAATTTTAATTCCAGCCTGCTGATAAACGCCTCCCC